GCTGAGGTTTATACGGATGATATGAGAGATTGATTCTTGCATTTAGCCTAGGGTAACCGCTCTATATATGAGTATAAAATTGAGTTCTTACACCTTAGTCGACATACGCCAGAGCTACTAGCTACCGAGGAGCATCGCTACAAGAGTTTCAAGGAGGGCCTCCACATTGATATCCTCACCCACTTGGAAACTGATCCACCAGGCCAAGACGACTGATCAAGTTTAGAGTATGAGGTCCAGGTTATCGAATAGTTCGTTGGGGTAGAGCCACCAAGCCCTCGATACTATTGGGTCTTCCCAAACTTCGATCAAGAGGTACAAAGACTCCCGAAGGTCATGGAGGTCTCCATTTTCTTAGTCCCAAAGGTCAGAAAATGGCTCAATCTGTAGGCATGGATCAGAGGGCTATAGGAGACCACTAGCTTTAGCCTATATGGAAAGCACTGAGGGACCATCCAGGACCATGTAGCCACCAACTTATAGGTTTTATGGGAGGAGGTCATCGGGGGAGTGTCATCGAGACTCTTTAGTTTGTTATGGATGTAGGTTATTTGAGCACCTCATCAGAGACTGCCCCGACATAAGGAGCTTAGCACCATCGACTTTTTAGAGATCGACTTAGAATATTTAAAGGGGTAGGGGATCTTTTCAAAGAGGGGGTAGTTCAACTTTTGGATAGTAGAGTAGGGGTACCTCTATATCCATAGTTAGTCCTAAAGCTAAGGCTTTCTCCCACCAGTACGCAGTCTAAGCCCAGAAGAATTGTGAGGTTGTCGATGTCCTCTCAAGTATCTTTATGATTTTTGGTACGTTTGTTATTGCTTTATTAGACTTGGGGTTAACCTATTCATACATTTTTTGTGAGCTTATCCAAGAGAGAGATATCCCAACTAAGTACTTCGAAGTTAAGGTATGAGTTTCCATTCCTTTAAGAATAGATGTGATTGTGGAAAAGGTTCATCGTAGATGTACGATAGAAATCTGAGGGCAAACTTTTCTAGCTGATTTGATGGAGTTTCCATTTCAAGAGTTCGATGTAATCCTAAGAATGGATTGGTTATCCAAGCATGATACGAGTCTGAAGTGTAGAGCTAGACAACTCAAAATTCATAAATTAGATAACACAAAGATTATAATGGCAAACGAGGAACTTAGTGGTACCTCAAGGACTGTTTCGACCTTAGAGGCCCACAAGTTGTTAAGCACGAGTTGTGATGCATTTTTAGCCCATGTAATAGACACTTATTTTCTGGTTACAGTACTTTAGAGGATTTGTGTTGTGAGGGACTTTCCCAATGTATTTCCAGAGGAGTTGTCGGGATTACCACCCAATAGAGAACTAGAGTTTGGCATTGAGGTTATACAAAGTTTAGTTCCGGTTTCCATCACTCCCTACCGCATAGAACCAACTGAGCTAAAGGAACTTAAGGCTCAAATTCAAGAACTTCTAGAGAAAGGTTTTATCTGCCCAAGTGTGTTACCATGGGGAGCACATATTTTATTTGTAAAGAATAAAGACGGGCAAATGAGTTTGTGCATTCACTATCGTCAATTGAATAAGTTAATTGTGAATCGCTTATGAGAATTGGCAACTTGTTTGACAAACTTAAGGGAGAAAAAGTGTTCTCCAAGATCGACTTGAGGTTGGGAAACTACCAGCTAAAACTTAAGGAATAAGACATAGCAAAACTACATTTAGAACCTAGTATGGTCACTACGAGTTCTTAGTAATGCCTTTTGATCTTACCAATGCACCAATTGCATTCATGGAATTAATGAATAAAATTTTTCGTCAATATCTAGACCAATTTTTATGGTTTTCATCAATGACATATGAGTATACTCACATTCATCTGAGGAGCATGACCATCACCTCTATATTATGCTATAGACCTTGAGAGAGCACCAAGTATTTGTCGAGTTTAGTAATTGTGAGACTTGGTGTCATCCCAGGGCATCCAAGTTAAGCCTCAAAAGATTCAAGTAATGGTTCAGTGGGAACCACCGTGGAACGTATCTAAGATACATAATTTTCTAGGGCTTAACGGATACTACCATCATTTTGTTAAAGGGTTTTCTATGATCGCCGCTTTGATGATTAAGTTGCTCCAAAAAGGAGTCTTATTTTTTTGGGATGATAAGTGTCAGTAGAGCTTCAGAAACTAAATGAGTTTTTAACTCAAGCCCTAGAGTTGAATCAACCATAGTCAATTAAGGAATATATTGTGTTTAGTAATGCTTTGCTAAATGGTTTTGGTTGTGTCTTAATGTAAGAGGGTCGAGTGGTTACGTATGCATCCCGACAGCTTAAACTGCATGAATACAAATGGCCCACTTATGAGTTAGAGCTTGCAGCCATAGTCTTTGCTCTGAAGTTTAAAGTCATTAACTCTTCGGGGAAAATGTTACATCTTCACCGACCATTAGAGTTTGATGTATTTGCTAAATTAAAATGAGCTAAACTTGAGGTGACGTAGTTGGGTCGGATTGCTAAAGGATTATGACTTTGTAATTGATTATCACTCAGTAAAGCTAATGTGGTGGCATACGCTTTGATCCGAAAGACAATATCCAATATTTGAGCATTGTTCACGCGGTTGAGACTAACCAGGGATGATGGAGTTTTAGTTGAGTTGCAGATAGAGTCTGAGTTGGTTAAGGAAGTGAGGGAACTCTAATGGACCGATGATCACTTGGTAGCTAGGTCTGAACAAACTTATCGAGGCGAGGCATATGGGTTTGAGCAGAATAATGGTGATGTATTATATTTTCAGGTTCATTTGTGTGTTCCGTCGAGCGAAGAGTTATAAACTAAAATCCTTAGTGAGGCAGATTGTAGTCTATTTTTAGTATATCCTAGAGAAAACAAGATGTATCAAAACATTCGTTAGTTGTATTAGTGACCAATTATGAAAAAGGAAATATCTAAGTTCGTGTCTAGGTGCTTGGCGTGTCAGCAAGTGAAAGCAGAACACCAGGTTCCATCGTGGTTGCTTTACCCCCATTCAAATTCTGTAATGGAAATAGGATAGAGTGGCCATAAACTTTTTGAATGATTACTGATGACGCGAAGGAAATAATAACTCTAAAAAAAGTTATCATATATGTTTTTTTTACCTAGGGTATGCTTGAACATAAGCATTACTAGGAATATTTGTACATTTGTTTTTATATATTTTTCATTATAAGAGTTGGTTAGGACACTTTGGCTAAAATTGATTATTAATGCTAAATTTTGTGTACACTTATGATGTGGCATTACTCTTTTCCATAGGATATGCTTTCAAACAAGGCCGATCTGATTGCATAGGAAAGCTTGCAACAATTGTTGATGTCACAGGAAATTTTTAGAATGTTTTGGAATGGGACAACTGGCTAGGCAACTGTCAAATGGTTAGATTTCATTCAATGCATGGAACAATTTCATTGGGTGAAGTTTGATTCCTTTAGCCTATAAATAAAATAGGCTCTCACACCATTAGATCTATCAAATTTTTCATCTTTCAGTATTTTCTCCACCCTTGAATCATCCGATCAAGCCATGGCTACCTATGTCCACCGCAAGGGAGTGCTGCAACAGATGGGAAGCATTGCCGCATAGCAACAATGATTGAGAATATCCTTTCTTATTCTAGTTACTCCATTGAGATAGGGAAGTAGCAAATTAACTTTGGATGTTTAGTTAAAGTGTTAGGATGTTATTTGGTTATGAACATTATGTGTTTGTGTAATTGTTTTTGTTATGATCTATGCATTATTTTGTTTTTATATCCTGCTAAAATTCATTGGGTATTTTTATAAGTAAAAATATCCTATTGATTTCTCTATCTATTTAGAAATAATTATTTTTGGATACTGCGTCATATTCTGTCCAACATTGGTACATGTGAGAAACAATTTAGTGTATTGAGATGTATGCTGCCAACGTTATGCAAGATTACTTGTTTAATTAATTGAGCTAATGAAGGTTATTTTCTATTGATTAAAAATTATTAATCATTTCTTAACACATTAATTTAGAATCTTATGCATAACCATAGTATAAGCTACAAATTAACATCTAAATCCATTCAAGACTTAATATAATGCTCCTTGCATGCTGTAGCATTTCTTGACACTTTCTGAATATTACTTTTTCTACAATTCTATTTTTTGATCATCTTAAAACATTTATTTTCTTAACAACTCTCTAGTGATTAAATCTTGCTCTCTATGGGTACGACACTCGAAACTTTTAAAGTTTCCATTTTATTACTTGATTCAAGACACGTACACTTGCGTTGAATGTTGTAACAATTCGTAGCATCAAGTTTTTGGCACCGTTGCTGGGGAGCAATGGTTTTACATTAGAGTTAACTTTTAGTATTTACTTGTTTATTTTCTTTTGTAGGTACCTATTTCTTTATGTAGTTTAGAGTGTTAGTGTATGCTCTAAAGCAACGACGCCAAACTTTTTGATCTAGAAATAAAATAAACATTTCACTTCCATCGAAGAGAAACTAATCATAATCAAGCAAACATCAATGTTAGAAATAGTAACAATGAATTAGCACCATTGCAGACCGAATATGACAATGAATTATTGTTGGAGATTGAGTCAACCAACATCAATATTACAATAATGATGATCACAATCGATCGATTAGGGATCATATTGTACCAACACTGGACGACTTGAATCCTAACATCGTCTGACCAACCATTTATGTCTCCCATTTTGAGCTGAAACCGGTGATTTTCAAATGTTGTAGTTAATGGGGCAATATAGTGATTTATTTTCTAAAGATCCGAGAGCACACCTTATAGAATTCATGGAAGCATGTGACTCGTTTGTGTAGCAAGGAATACCTGATGAAGGTTTGAAACTGAAATTGTTTCCTTATTCTCTATGTGACGAAGCTAGAGCATGGCTTAACTCGCTGCCACCAGGTGGTATAGCATCATGGAATGAATTATCACAAAAAATTTAGTTGAGATTTAATCATCTAGATATGAATGTGAAGCTCATAAATGATTTAACATCCTTTAAGTAGTTGGAAGATGAGAACTTGTACGAAGTATGTGAATGTTTCAAGGATTTGTTGCGTAAATGTTCGATGCATGGATTTTTTCCATTAGATGTAAATGGAAATGTTTTATAATGGTTTGAAAATGCAAACATGTATGGTGGTTGATGCCTCTCCCAATGGAGCATTGTTGGATAAAAACTATAATGAAGAATATGATATTTTGGATAACAATGATTACCAATACCCCAACACGTGGAACATATTTGGCGGACACAATATTGCAGAAGTGGACTCTGATGCTTTGAATTCAATGGTTTCACAAATAACAACATTGAAAGATATTGATGAAGAAGTTACAAAAACCAGGGGGTATGTATAAGGTAAAAATTACATCTATTCTTTCATGTGTTTATTGTGGAGATAATCACAATTATGAAGAATACCCATAAAACCTCAAATTTGTCTATTATGTGAGGAGCTACAATAGTAATATCAACACAAATGCATGTGACAATACGTATAATGTCAACTTCCGTAACCATCCAAATTTATCTTGGAGAAACCAAATTGTTGCAAATATCAATATGATGTTTCAATCAAATACACATCAGCATTACAATCATCAATAGACAATGCCCCAACATCAGCCCCAACACCAAACAACTCAGTCACAATGATGTCAGAACTATCAAGGGAAACATTCAACCTAAGTTTATTCTTTAAAATCTCTTGAGACATGGTTAAAGGAGTTCATGTCAAGAAATGAGGCGATGAATCAAAAGAATGAAGCTTTAATTTAAAGTCAATCAGAATCACTAAGGGTTTTTGAAAATCAAGTATGACAGTTGGCCAATGCTATGATTAATTGACAGCAACTAACATTGCCTAGTGATACCAAAAACTCTTAAGCCATAAGGGAAAACTCATTATAATGAGAATTGTAAATCCATCACTACTAGAAGTAGTCTTCACATTGGGAAGCCTGTTGAAGAGCCTGTTGATGTAACATTAAGAAGAATAAGATAGTGTAGTAATTCTGAGCCATTGCCAACAACAACACCAAGAACAATGCCACATGTGATAACATAAATGCCAAGACAACTAATTCCAAGGCCTCCACTGGCATTTCCCTAAAGATTCAAATAAACTAAGGAGGATTATCAATTCAAGGCATTTATGGATGTGTTTAAGAAATTGATAATTAACATCCCATTAATTGAAGCATTGAAGTAAAACTCGAACTACATAAAGTTCATACGAGAAGTTCTTTAAAAAAATGAAGGCTTAGAGAATTTGAAACTATTGTACTCACTGAAAGATGTCTATGGTAACAAGTGAATTACCACCCAAACTTAAGCATCCATAGAGTTTCACTATTCATTGAATTATTGGTGATCAATTTGTAGGAAAAATTATGTGATTTAGGTGCTAGCATTAATCTAATGCTACTTTTAATCTTTAGGAAATTTGGAAATGGAGAAGCACGACCCACTACTGTGACTTTACAATTCACTGATAGGTTCACCATACATCATACTGGCATTGTTGAAAATATGCTAGTTCGAGTATACAAATTCATTTTTCCCACATATTTCATCATATTGGATTGTGAAGCTGACAAGGATGTCTCAATCATACCTGATCTACTATTCCTTTCTATCGGTCGAGCCTTAATAGATGTTGAAAAGAGAGAACTTACTATGCGTTTAAATGATGAACATATTACTTTCAATTTTTTGAATATTATTTCATATGTGGATAACAATGTTATTAATATTATTGATTTCTTTCATGCATGACCAATGGGATGAATGCCATAACATGAACATTGTTGCGAATAATGTTGTGACAATGGAAAAGTTGACCGAGAAGGAAGAAGTTGAGGGGAATTACATACATCTCTTTGCATCATTATAACTCCCCAACTGGCCTATTTAACCTCTTAAACCTTTAATATAGGAACAACCAACGCTTGATTTGAAGCCTTTTCCCGAGCATCTTAAATACGCTTTTCTTGGAAGTGACAAATCATTGCATGTTATTATTGCAGCAAAGCTCGAAGCATCAAAAGAGGACAAGTTGATTGTTGTTCTGAAGCAGCATAAGTAGAAAATTTCTTAGAGTATTGTTGATATTAAGTCATTAGTCCAGCATTCTACATATACAAAATCTTACTAAAAGATTCCAATAGCAGTTCTATTGAGCAAAAAAGAAGGCTTAGTCCAGTCATGAAGGAAGTGGTTAAGAAAGAGATTATCAAATGGTTGGATACTAGAGTCAAATACCCGATTTCTAACCATAATTGGGTAAGCCCTATGTAATGTGTTCCAAAGAAGAGGGGAATTATTGTCCTCTCCAATAAGAATAATGAACTTGTGCTAACACATATAAAAATCGGCTGGAGAATCTGTATGGACTATAGAAAGCTCAATAAAGCCATGAGGAAAGATCACTTCCCATTGCCATTTATAGATCAAATACTGAATCGTCTTATCGACAAGGCTTTCTAGTTTTTTATGGGTATAGTGGATATAACCAAATATCTATTGCCCCTTAAGATCAAGAGAAGACCATTTTCACTTGCCCCTATGGTACCTTTTCTTTTAGACGAATGCCATTCAAATTGTGTAATTGTAACCCCCTCAGACCTATACGGGTGACCCGATCTGATCTGAGGTGTCACATTAGGGCCACCAGAGTGACCCACCGTGAAAATCTCGAAAAAAATTAATTTTTTTATAAAAACATGTAAAATCATAAAACAATTTATAAACACAAAAGTAAAATTTAATAATATTTAGAAATAAAATAGATTCTAGACTCAAATATAAAAACAAAATACAAGCTACATGCCCCCTAGTCACTTGCACCGTACTCCGCCAGCAACACCGGTGTAACTCCCTTACTGATGTCGATAGATGCACAAGTTCAATTCTTTTAACCTGAAATAGTGAGTAACAGAGTGAGCTTTAGGAAGCTCAGTAATACAATACTACCAAATGATGTTAAAGGACACGCAGATAACAGATAAGCATATGCTTCCTTATTGATTCAGACATCTACAAACCTATATGTTGATATGTGGTCCCACTGATATCTCATATAGTAAAAGACAGTAAGCTTACAGTTCAGAGGAAATGTTTCGGATGACTGGGTTCAGGAGATCATAATAGGGTGTCTAGTGTGTTACCATAAAACCAGTGAAAAGATATTGATCTTTTTAAAACAGTAGCAGTTTAAAACATATTTTTTCTCCCTCTAACCGAACACCATATGTAGCTCCCCAAAACTGCATAACCTAAGGGAGAACCTTAGGGCATGATAGCATACCCAAGAAAGATTCTCCACAGAACCTACCCAAGGGTTGTATTAGGTCAATGAGGAATTACCAGTTGGTGCTGAACCTATTCAAGGAATTACTAGCAGCGACTGAACCTGCCAGAGTCTTCAGTCATACCAGAGTCCCAGAGTACCCCGTATAAAAATAAGTTCAGTCAGTAAACAGAGATATAAGAAATCAGAGCAGTGATAAGAGATAAAATAGAAATAAGAGAAAACATCTGTGTGGTCAGGGAACATACTAGAGATTCCAAATATTATTCGGATATACATGAAAATCTAATCGGGCAGGGGAAACACATATCTTTAGTATACCGATAGAATTTCAGAAGTTAGAATCACTATCGAAAGAGTTTATTAGCTGACAAGATGATCAGTTATTCAAAACATGATTTGTCAGAATCATATAGTATTCGAATATTTTTCGAAGGCACTATAAAATTAAAAAGATATTCACAATCCTTTGCATCTGAGTTACTTGTGTTTTCAGATATAACAGGAGTGATTCCATTATTCAGGAAATCAGAGGCATTTTGGGCATTGGGTTCTTAGAGAATTCTTAGTAATTTGAGATGATAAGGGAGAAACTAAGATTCAGGGCATTTACGATTTGTGTCGATCTATCGAAATATCGAGTTAACTTTAACTGTACAAGTCCCATCACTGATACTTGTCAACCGGTCAAATCGTTGCACTTCTAGAGTATTCACTTTTTATTACAGACAATTGTTGTCAAATTGATCATATTCAGAATCATCACAGAATAGATCTTAGGGAGACTAACAGATATTCCAATGGTCTTTATTTTATTTCCACATTGCAATAATATCAGGAAATGTCGACGTACTTGATTCCTGGTTCATAACCCTTAGGGACAGTACATCATGTAAGTTCATCAGCATTTCCAGACTTATCCAAATCATTTACTTAATCATCAGTCATTGAGGTTACTTAGTTCATTTAGTAGTCAAGTCTATCCAAGTCACTAAGGAGTTTCCAGAGTAATTCTACCGTTTCTGAAATTCGAATACATACAATACTTCCATTCCATTTAACTTGGTCATATAATATAGTCATATTGGTAATCGAGGTTGATTTATTCATTTTAGAGCTAAGGGTATTTAGTTATTCCAGTGCTTAGACGCTCTTCTAATCATATTACACTTTAAGGGTATTATCGTCATTTCATTCAATTATGTCAGTGGCATTACTTCTGATAACTTAGGCTTGAAAGTATTCTAGTTCCTTTAGAATTCAGAGTACTTTGTTTATTTGGTCTCTGGAGGTTAATTTCACTACTAGGGGAAGTCTTGGTTCTTTTACAACACAAGGGCATTTTTGTAATTTTACCCAATAATGCTATTTTTTGTAATTTCTTCTACAATATTTCCAATATTTAACCTTTATCGAGATTAATCAAAATTTACGAGTCCCAAGATCGATTGATTACTGATTAAATTACTGAACTTAGATTTGTTTTCATTCAGTCTACCAATTTCTTTTACGAGTCGTTTGAGTCGTTTATAGTTTTCTATCTTTATTCAAATTTAATTTGAGTCCAATGATAATTAACTACACCTATTGTACCAATCTTTTACATTCATGCATTTACCATTTATCAGTGAGTTTCGAAAAACATACAAAAGATAGTGGAGTATTACCTTGATTTTTGTGCCATATCAATAGACCATTTAAACTCCATTAGATCATCCTTGAACTTTAATTTAATGTCCAATAATACCTCAAATACATAGCAAAC